ATATATATATATAGGTTTTTTTTATGTAGAAGGGTCACAAGTTCCCCTTCAGGAGAAAACAGACTGAAATCATAGAAAATTAAAATATTATCTAAGAAAGAATACATTTCACATGGTTTGAAATATGAGCATTTACCTACATGTGCACACAGTAGATTGAATAGATTTATTACGAGTTATTAAATATGAATAAATAAAGAGTATGATGGATTTGGCAGCCATTAGTAACAGAGGTCTGAATAYGCAGTCACAAATTATTTAAGTGTACGAACTTCAATTATTTCAGTTGAATCTATTTTAACAAGTTTGATGATAAATAGGAAAAGAACTTAAATATTACAGCAAATATAGTGGCACCAGTACGAACAGCTCTATCATAGAATTATGACAGAATGTAGAGAAAAAAACTCGGTGGTAGCTAATTTTGTTGTAATGTCATGTGGCCAGTCCTGTATGGGTCTTCTACCCCTAAAATCCCTATTGAGAGTTGTGTATTTCTTTCTAAATGTGAGTCTTTAGAGATTTATCCCAAAGTAGCTGGTAGTTCTATAATGATTTGTCTGAGAACAACATCACCACAACCAATTATGTTTGCTCAAGTTATGCAAAGTGCACATATAGCTGCACACAACAGATTGGGCATTTTTCTATCTAATGTGGAAGAATAAAACATTCTTGACATCATTCCTGCAGGGGCTCACTTAATTTGCACTTAAAAAYAATAATAGCCACGTCAAGCAAAATTGTCAGCCATGTAAAAGTTTACAAAGCAAGTGCATGAACTGCCAAAACCTTTGAGATTGTAACTTTCTTTTTWATGATGGCAAGCAATCCTCTTTGGTCTTRGCCCTGCTCAGACTAGCTTATGGSTCATCARTCCTGTCRGAAMTRAACTTTATTTTTTCAAACTGAAGGTGTTCAACAGAGAAGATATTATTTGTTCATACCTTTTCCACAGCACCCCACTTCAGAAGACTTGAACAATACCCTGCTTGCTTGTGGGAATGTGACAGATGAAGGAAATCAAATTCTGGGTAAACCACATGCTTGTTCCACACATGGACATGTAAAATGTAAATTAATCTTCTAATGCTAAATAAAACATCATCGGTGAATGTAATATATATAACAAATGCTAACACTTTGTAAAATGGGGGAAGGGGAATAATTTACAAGCTTCTTTTATAATCATTTTTAACCCCTTTGTGGTTAAATAAGAGTTATTTTACCCCCTGCCCTTTTGGGTTTCTTTAATGCCTTCCTTCAGTCTTGCCCAACATGCACACGTGTGCACAGACATAAACACAGTTTATTATGCAGTGACATTACCAGATCCCCTTAGGCAGCTGTGCATCTCTGTATGACTGATGAGGGTAATTTCTCCCAAACAACAGAATGATCACTTTAGCGGTGAGTGCGACAGGCACTCCCTCCTCCCCTTGTCTTCTCTCTCTTTCTCTCTTTCCTTTTAGCTTACAAAAAAGGCGAGAAAAAGACAGACATTTGTTACCATGTCTCCTGCAGTGCCTGAAATGTTTCCAAAGATAAATAGCGCTGCCACATTATACAAATGAATTAAACAAAAAAGAAGTTAATCATTCAACCAGATCTRACCAATCTACCGATCCTTTGGATAGGAATGGTTTTCAATCACCTCTAATGAAAGATATTTCCACTTAAGCGTTTGGATCTGGGGCTTAGGAGGGTTTCCTTATTTTTTCCTTGATTACCATAGGGATCCAATATAATACACATGCCAGTGTGAATTAGCCTCATATTAGGAACTGAGAGAGTCACAGTGAGTTTAGACTGTGTGTGCACTGCTGGGCACCACGGGATGCACAGAGCTGAGAGTAGTTAGGACTTGTCTGCTTCTCTCTCCTGGCCTTATAGTTTCAGCCTCAGTGGGCTGTCTTTACCTATTCTCCCATCTGTCAGTCACACACAACAACAAATCCACCTGTCGACCAGGTGATTGGGCTGAACAGGGCGACGCCACAGCTGTCTGGGCCCTGGCTCGGTGCGGTGGGGGTGCAAGCCAGCGCCCTCCACTGGTGACAGAAAGCCCATTAGAATAGTTATTACCCCACCTGTCAGCCCCATCGCCTCACTTACACCCATAAGCCAGACTAATGAAGACAGTTACCACTACAGCACCTTGAACACRAAAGTCATGCTTCTGTGCATTTTGTGGTCCTTGTGTCCTTGATCACAAGGGCTCTCCGGGCTTGGAACAATATAACAATCCATGCGTTAAGAGACAGACATTTCTCCTGCGTCACTTGATTGCTTCAACAATGAAGCTATTAATGCTGCATTATGTAAATTGGACTGGTCACAAACATCTAACAGGATAAAGGCTAAGTACAGTGCAATTTAATGCTGCTGACTTTCAGCAGCCCTTTGAAGGATGTTTTCAATTATAACAGTGCTAATTTAATTCATTGTTTCGTGGCTGAAAATGCATTTTTAAAGCTTGACTGAGTCTCTATTTCAGAACTCAGGTTTAATCAGTCATGTACATTAAACACTGGAACGTCCTCTAAAGAGATTGACAAAGTTGCCGGGGATCTGCATTCTAGGCTTTAAAGGGATGCAGYAGCCCTACCCTTCCCTCTCGTTTTCTGAGGGGAGGGTGTTCGTCTAAAAGATGAAAAGACCTGCGCCTTTAAGAGGGCTGTCTCCCCTTTCCCTCTTGCTCCCCCTCAACCACACAGACACTCCTCCTGTGAGCATTTGTGAGGCAGCTCCTGTCCCTTATGTCTCTTTGTGGGGAACAGAACCGACTTCCCAGAGCATCACTGAAGACAAGATAGAACTCCAGGGAAGACACCTCCGGCTGCAGACCTCTGTGCCTCAGCAGCAGCGCATGCCAAAATGTGCACATGGAGAGAAAAGGGCAGAGCAACTTGAGCTGGAGTAAAGAAATAAAGTCCAGAAGAAGAGGAGCAACTTGACACTTCAAGAAGTCAGCTCTGGAGTAAAGTGGAGATGATCAGCAGGTGAGAATCAACAACGCCGGACTGGACCTCTAAGAAAAAGGTGGAGTCTTAATATAAGCTTTCAGTTTCTCTTTTAAAAAGTTTTGTTAAAGAAGGCTTGCAAAGTAACGTGTATGGTGTTTATCTATTAGGACAAAATAATACACACAAGTACATGAAAAGCAAGGAAAATATGTCTTAACTGTGCATTTTTCTTCTCAGACAACTCCAGAACCCTTCTCTGACAGACACTGGTATTATGAAAATGAGAAGCTCTTTAAAGAACATCTTGAAAGGCCCCAAGAGTCCTCTTAATTCATCAGCCAGGCGTTTATCTTATTTCTCCAGCTTCCTTTGAGACGGGACATTAAAGACTTTGTTGCGCTTTGGGAGTGAGTAATATTTCTTATACRAAGTCTTGAAACTTTACAGCTGTTTACTGGAGGGAGAGAGAAAAAAGCCCAACGCAAAATAAAATTGTGTTATGTAGTATTTCGTGAGGGGAGAGTGTTTCTGGACTGACGGCACATTGAGGACTGCAGATATGTTTACAGGGTGTGGAGTTGTCAGTGGCCAGAACCAGTGTCTGACCAACAACGCAGTCAAACCTCAACCAGGACTGGAGGTAAATAAACCAATTCAATACGACAATGGTATAATCCATGAGACCTGCCCAATCTTCCAGGGTCAAAATTACACAAACTCTGTGACGCAGCCAGTGGGGTTGAAYGGTGTTTCGAACATTCAGAAACCCATACCACTGCCGATCTCTCCTCCAGCAATTAAACTGGGGCAGGACGGATTCAAAAAAGTTTGCCGCACCGAGGAGGAGAGCCCCTGTCCTTTCCCGGGTCTGCCCTCCGGGGTGCTGGAGATGCGTGTGAAAGAGGGAAGCAAGATTCGCAACCTAATGGGATTTGCAATGGCACGGATGCAAGGAGAGAAGGGTGGAAGTGGGGGGAGCGCGGGCGCCGCTGGTCTCAGGCAGGTGGTCTTCACTGGGTCGGGTCGAGCCGTCACAAAAACCATCACCTGCGCTGAGATCATGAAACGAAAAGTGGGCTGTCTGCACCAGCTGACCAAACTGCAGTATAAGGTGGTGAAGGAGGTGTGGGAGAGTAACCAGGGGTCGACGTCTGAGATGACGGTGCACAGGACAGTTCCGTCCATCAGCATCCTCCTTTCAAAAGACCCTTTGGATCCACAGGAGCCAGGCTATCAGCCTCCAGAGGCTTTTAGTGCATTATGGGAGGACAGAGCGGGGTCTGAATCTGCTGCTCCAACAACATGCAAGAGACCTCTTGGATCTTCACCGTACAGTGGTTTCTCTCACCCTAAAAAACTGTGTTTGGGGTCAGCGAGTCTCAGTCCTTCCTCCTCGCTGACCAGCTGAACCAGTGTCACAGTGGAGAGGATTGAATCAGCGAAGTTCATTATTCTGCTGCACTCCGCTCCCAGCACAATGCTGAGACAATCAGAACATTCACTCAGTCAGAACAAYGATTTCTTATAGGAACTGAAGGCTCCAGAGGTCAGTTTGACCAGGACCGAAAGCCTTACACCTGTACATAGATCATTTATAGGACGTGTTTCAACATCTCCAACATTCACAAAACTGTGATGATATGTTCTACTGTTCAACATGACTGTGTACGGATTGAAATCATTTTCCACAGTGACAACTACAACAAAAAAAGAAAGAAAAAAAAGAAAAAGCCATAAATTGTGCAGGTTCCAGGTTACCATTTCAGTAATCTACAACTTGTAGACATATTTACTTAGTATTACCTTACAATCATCTGTATTCATAAATAATCTTAAATAAAGCTTTCCAGATAAAAAAAGGATTTAAGAATACAAAATAAAAAAGAGCGTCAAGCCGCTGATGATATGCAAATCCAAAACATACCAATTTGTTTTTCTGATTATCAATTCTCACAGTTTTTTGTCAAAGGAAAACTTTTCTTTCTTTCTTTCTTTCTTTTCTTTTTTGTTCTTTTTTTTTTCTTACCCATTCATCACTGAATATGCAAAGCTCTGATGGGACAAAAAAAAAAAGATAAATGAATAAAAAAATCAGAGTGTGCTGATGTTTTGATAAAAATACCAGCAGTGAAATTTGTCTGTAGAAAACAGATTTAATGACAAAGCTGTTGATAAGGCTCCAAACCAACTCAGCCTGACAGAAATGCCGAGGGGAGAAATACAGGCACAGATTATCATTAAGATAACAATGCAACATCACAGAACACAGTGAAGAAAAGGATTTAAACTTGGCTTGACAGAGCTTTACACTGCACTGTTCCTACAAAATATGAAACCAAGGCAACAAGGTACACTTCTTTTTTATTTCTCTTTCTTTTTTTTTGGCCTACCTGCCATCCAGTGCAGCACATCTTTTGTCATCGTTTTTTGCCTGTTTAATCTTGGATTTCCCAAACAGAATAAACTGTGGGAAGAAACAGTCTCAAAGGAGTTACGTCTAAAACAACACCATGCAACTTCTAGTTGACAAAAAATAAACAAGACGGCTTCTGAATCTCCTGTTGGCATCATACACACACACACACACACACACACACACACACACACACACACACACACACACACACACACACACACACACACACACACACACACACACACACACACACATATATATATATATATATATATATATATATATATATATATATATATATAAAATGACATCCTGTTTGCCACACAGTTTAGATGTGATTTAGCAAAAGCGATGCACCTGAGTCATTAGTGAAGCAAAACTAGATGCTCAGGACAGTTAAGACAGCTGGATCACAGTTACACTGAGCAGGAAGAGACAAATAAATAAAAACTAAAAACAATACTGCTGGAAGCAAACGACTGGACTGAAATTGTATAAAGTAAAAGTTTAAAGAATTGTAGCCAAAACTACAAAAAAATAAGCTTTTCAATTTTTTTCTTTCATTTTTTCTGCTGCTTTTACTAAAATTCAACAAAGTTAATTCAAACTATAAAAAAGCAAATTAAGTGAAATACAACTAACTGGAAATATATTATTTTAAATGACAAAATAGCAAACAAAACTAAACTAACAAAAAAGTGGACAAATAAAAAAAAAAGATCACCAAAGTTCTCTGAAACTTTCTTCCCAATTTATTGCTCAAAGAAACACATCTTAAGTTACAATGGCCACTTTTAGATTTCAGCTGGCATAGTGATCACCTTTCTTCTTGATCCCATTAAATAAATCAGAGCAAAGCAGAATAACCAAGGTTGAATAAGAAATGCTGCAACTGCAATCCCTGCACAAATGCAGCAAACTGCGTGTCCTCAAGACTGCTGGAAGGTTATCATTTCAGGTTGTTGTTATCACAGAGTTAACAGCTTTCACCCAAGAGCTTAGGGGACAGGCGGTCTGCAGTGCGGGTCAAACAGATAATGCCTCTACAAGTAAATTTCAAATCGACCTGCATTTGTTATCATGCATTAAGAATTCTGGGCCAAGTGTGAGATGTGGAGGGGTAATTAGGGATAACGGCGAAGCGTACCTGAGTGAGAGAACAGATAAAACATACTGACAAAAACATTATCCAGGAGCCAAATCCAATGTGGCTGCCATGAAATAGGTTGGTGGAGGAGTCAACAAAGTGCATTATAAGACTGAGGACAAGGTTATTCACACGCTGGGTGTCTGTTTGCCAATAACGTTTGCTTTCAAAACTGCAGTTAAAGTGTTTATAAGAGGTGCAGGTCCAGCCTATTAACAATATGCAGTATGTTTAAACTAATGGGAATATCTACTTTTTTGAGAGGAAATTAGTAAAATTCAAATGGAAAACTTGTTGAAATTTAAAATCCAAACATTTCTAATCTTGAGATGAGGATTAGAACTGTTACTTGTTTTGTGCTCATTTCTTTCCAAGAGGGGCAGTTCAAGTCAAAGACTAAAATATGTCCCTTTTTTGTAAACTTGACTTTCTCTAAGTAGATACAACATCATGTCGTTCTGTTTACCAAAGCCAATAACCGACTGCTTGCGCTGACTGCGAATAAATTCATTCTGAAGTTAACATAATGAAAGTGTTGGCGCTCTATTTCTTTTTTTTTCTCCCCTCCTCTTTTCTGCTGCTGCAGCAGATGAGAGTGAGGTCTCTGGGATGGTGTGGGAGTTCGCTATCTCCCAGCCTCCAGATGGCTCCGTCTTCTCTTATCTAGAAGAATGGGTGCCGCCTCAATTTTTCAACTCGCCTTATCTGGGAATCCTTTAAACTGAATATTTACTGGGCCTATGTTTTCTGCCTGTGTTAGCCCTCAGAAGTAGACATTCCTCTTGCTTGTTCAGACAGGGCAAAAGGTTTTTTTTTCACTCATATACTCCCTTTGTCTGCCTTGTCAAGTAATGGGACAATGATTGATTATGTGATTGCTTGGAGAGAATGGAAGGTTAAGCAGTAAGGCAGAGACCAGTGGAGACACAGTAACAAATGGCCAAAGAGGGAATATGATGAACAATAGAGAAATGTACATTAACCCAAACATGACATTGGGCACCTCTGTTATATGTCAGGGGTAAAATAAAATAAATGAATCATTTTTTGCAAAGAGTCTATTGTTTCCTGTGCTGCGTACACAAGAGGATAAGAGAACCCTTAAGCAGCCACTGAAAACATCTTATTGCCTTTTGACTGGCTGTGTTCTATCTGCATAAACAAGCTGTGCCACAGCTACTCCCTGGTAAGTGTCTGGAAATGTCTTTTCAAACCCATTTTGTGAAATGTCTCCATGTTGGATTAATCAGTGCAGCTGAGGATGTAATTGCAGTGCTGAAGTCAAAGCTGTAAGAACAGATAATGAACACGAACTTCAGGGCTGCCAGAATCCAGGGCAAAAAAAAAAAAAAAAGTTTGTAAACTAAAATGTCTTCAACATTTTAACATAACCTATGACAAATACAAAAAAGCATGAAGGTTTTCTATATTTTCTGTATTTCCACTAAATAAAAGCTAGAAACGACCATTCAAAGGCCATTAAAATAGACATTTTAGAAACTGACACAGCTGCATTGCGCAGTTAAATTTAAAAGGGCACTAAAGAAAACTGATGTATGCTTTAAGGCTTTTTCCAAAATTAAAAATAATTTTATGTTTGCATGTGTTTTGTTGTAGGCAAGTAATAATAAATTGCTATTAAAGTCTTTATGTTTTATAAAAAAAAATGTGCATAGAGTAAACTATCTAGAGCAACTGACTCTTGCTGCCCTCTAGTGAAGAAACTAGTTCAAAGTCAAATGCAGAAAGAAAGAATAAATCTTTCTTTTTTTATTTATTTTCTTTTCTTTTTTTTTTTTTGGAGGCAGGGGGAGGGGG